GGCATGGGGAAGAAAGTTAGTTCAGCCCGAGCAGAAGGGCAGGTTAGACTCAGGACAGCTCTGCCCGTCCCAGGCCCAGCCTGAGCAGACCCCAGGTGTTCCGTCTCCCAGAGCAGCTCCTCCACCCCCTCCTTGGCTCGCAGCTGTCAGTTTCCATTTCTCCTCCTAATGCAGTCTGCTCCCTGGAGGCTGTGGGGTGGGGGAGAGGGTTATAGATTTTAATTTTCTCAAGCACGGAGAGAAGGAATGAAATTAGTGCCGCCCATAACCCAAGTCTCCTAATGGGGGGGGGGTATGTATGTGAGGGGGAGGCCCTAGACTTCTCCATCTCTTCTCTCCTGTGGCTCCCTTTGCTGCTCTAACAGTCCCTCCTGGAGTCTAACTTTGATCCTTCCTGCTGCAGCTTCTTTTTGTAGGCACTAGGTCCTCACAGAGTGGTACCCGCAGAAGATTGAAGGAAGTAGGGGCTGCTCTCTACCTTAAAATAGGAACCAATCATTTAAAAATTTTTATTTTATTGGGGGCTCTTACAGCTCTAATCACAATCCATACATATAGCCATTGTGTCAAGCACATCTGTGCACAGGTTGCCATCTTCTTCTTCAAAACAGGAACCAATCATTTTTCAAGGGTGCTCTAGCCCACCCTTTCTTTTCCCCTTTCTGGAGCTGAGAGGTCGAGGGCCCTACTCCCCTTTCTGCATTCAGCCCCCAGTGCGAAACCTCCTGCTTTCTACAACCACCTGGCAAGTCTTCTTGGGGTTTGATCACAGGCCCTCCCAGAGCTTTGTGTCCCCAACTCATCTTCTCAATGTCTGTCCTTAAGCCTTCCCCACTGCTCTTGGTCAGAGCAGCAGGAACCTGGAAGTCGCTGTGTCCCTAGGCGATTAGCAGCCTAGGGGCCCAGAGACCTTGTGTGACCTGCTGTGGGAGCCTGTCCCCAGCCCAGGTGTTCTCCTCTCTGTCTCCCGCGACTCCTCTCCTCCAGGCAATTGAGTGCATCACACAGGGCCACGAGCTGGAGCGGCCACGTGCCTGTCCACCAGAGGTCTACGCCATCATGCGAGGCTGCTGGCAGCGGGAGCCTCAGCAACGCCACAGCATCAAGGATGTGCACGCATGGCTGCAGGCCCTGGCCCAGGAGCCTCCCGTCTACCTGGACGTCCTGGGCTAGGGGCCTGCCCAGGAACTGGGGACAGGGAGCTTCCAGGCTGGGGTTCCCCTGCTCTCAGCGACTCCCATAGCTCCCAGCACCCCCCAGGGTGGTCGCCAAGCATCTAACTCACCCTCAGCATGCTGGAGGGGCTGGTGGGGGCCGGAAGTGGAGGATGTCCCTGTTTCTCCAAGGCAGGGTTCCGCCATGGCAATTATATTTATTATCCCTTGGCTGTGTCTCTTGCCAATTTTTGAGATGACGTTGTTCCTGGAGGAGAGAGGATTGGGACTCAGGTTGGGGGTGGGGGTAGGCGATGACTCTCGGGGATCCTCCCTCAGCCGCATACCCCAGCTCCATGCAGCTTTCACTCCTGATCCCCACGACCCCCCGCTGTGGTTTGGATCTCAGTCCTGGAGAACAGCAGGCCGGAGCACCCCAGGTCAAGTTCCCAGGCCTTCATACCCTAATTGCCTCTCCCTGTGCTTCATGCAGCGGGATGGGTGGAAGTTAGCTGCGTGGTGGACAGGGTGGGGGCATTGGTGGGTGGGTTCTTATTTGTTGTGCTGAGCAGAGCGGCACACGGTCAGAGGAGTGGCTGTGTGCATGCAGCAGGACCCCTTGTCCCTCCCCCTCCACTCTCACAAAGGACATTGGGATCAGCACTCAGAGACGGGCAATGGCAGGCGGTGACTTGCTGAGGACGCTGTCCCTCCTGCCCACGGAGGAGGCGGGGCTTCCCTTGCCCTCTGCCTCTGGAAAGGCCAGTGACCTGACTGAGTGGTTGGGTGAGGTCCTCCTATCTCCACCACATTGAGGGTCCTGGGTCCTGCCCCCATCTTCGCCAACCTTGAGGCGCATGCTCTACCCCAGAGTCTGGCAGGAGTGACCTGCCCCCCTCGTGCCTCCCTCCCTCCTTCTCCCCTCCCTCCTCCTCCCCTCGCCCCTGCCACCCTCCCCAGCCCATCACTTCTAATCACCTGCCTACTTCCTGCAATAACCCACGGCTCCCCAGGGCTAATCTGGCGGCGGCTGAGTCCTGTCCCTGGGTGCCCAGCCCTGGCCATCCCATGATTCAATCTGGGTCTTATCACCTCTAGGCCCTGCCGGTGGCGTCTGCCTCTTGTCCAGGCTGGTTACTGCTAATGGAGGGCTGACCCATGGCCACAGGCTGATTAATGGGGAGTCCAGGGGAGCTGGTCCCTGAGGGCCAAGTTCAGGGCCCTCCTCTCCTACCCTGGGCGGGGGGCTGTACCCACCCCTGCTGAAAGCACTGGGAGTGATTGGGAGGAGGGGAGACCATGCTGAGGGGACCCAGCTCCAACAGGTGAGGCTCAGAGAGACAGGGCAGAGGCAGAGATCAGGAGGTGCTGAGTGACAACAGAGGGAGATGGAGAGACTGAGGACGTCGATGGACACAGATGAGGGGGGGCAGAGGAGCACAGGAAATACACAGGGTGGGACAAGCGTCCCTGAGATCCGCCTGGATCCCGCCTCTATCTCATGCCCAGCCTCCTCTTCCTGCCTCAGCCTTTGGACCCTCCCAAGCCTACGAGGGCTGGGACACAGGCTGGCCCCACACTGAGTGTTCTTGGAGACAGAAGGGCGCCCTGGTGGTGCAGCGCCTAAGCACGGGGCTGGCTGCTAACTGGAAGGTGGTGGGCGGTGCAGAGGAAAGCCAAGCTCACCGCCAGGGGGTCAGTCAGTCGGTCAGTCAGTGTGGGCTCGCAGTGACCCTTGAGAACAGCGCGCCCTGGGCCCGTGCGCTTCCAAGACTGTGACTCTACCGAGCAGAGAGCCTCGTCATTCTCCCCCCAGAGTCTTGGAAACCCTCTGGGGCAGTTCCACCCTGAGTTCTACAAGGAGTTGGGAATGACTGTGAGCAATGGGTTCACGTTTGGTACTGAGGGTTGGGGCTAGGCAGGAGGAGGGACTTGGAGCACTTGGAGCATTTCCAGGGCCCAGAGTGGTTCTTAAAGCCCTTGCCTGCCTGGGGCATTGCTGGGAAAGGTGGGCAGGTCAGCCCTGAAGGTGAGCTGTTCTGGGAACCAGGTTTGGGCAGGGACAGGAAAATTCTGGGAGAGCGTGGTAGGGGGACCTGGATCGTGTGCATTGGGCTGGGAAAAGGTGCTGAAGCCCTTCACTCAGGCTCCCAGGCAGTCTGGGCTGGGGCGGGGTACTGAGGGTGGGGAGGGGGCTTTGTAGCCTGAAGGACCCGCCCCCTCTCCTCAATCCCAGATGAATTTGTAGAGGTGAACATGGACAGGCAGCCCTGGACATGGGTATATGTGCGCACACGCTTGAGAGAACATACACCCCCCCCCAATCACTCATAACTGTTGGATTCCACTGTCGTTAACTGTGCCCCCTCCACCCTGCTGCTGCCCCTGCCCCCTCCCTGTTAATTACTTCTGGCTGTGCCAAGTCCATTAGTGACCCCTCCCCAGGAGGGACCGCACACCAGCTGAGATGCACACTTGCAGGGATCGATGGGATGGGGCCTGGAGGACCCCATGGTAGGCTGGGGCCAGGACAGCATCCTGAGGCTGTGTGGATGGTACACCTGGGCCCCTGTAGAGCTGCACTAGGCCCCTTACTCCATCCCTCCTTCTCAGAGAGCCTGGCTCCCCTGCTTGGAAGACCAGGGCCCAGAAAGGGTGGTGTGCACCTCAGCGACACACAGCACTGAGGAAATGACTTAGGACTCTCCTTTCTCAGGAGGCCTCTGCCAGCTATTCTGTGCCTCTGGGGAGAAGGAATCCATGCTTCAGCACCCAGGGAGCTCCCCATGGGCCCCAGAACTAGGATGGGGTCTTCAAAGAACCCAGGGGCGCATGCTATCCCAACCTCCTGATTTCCTGACTTCCTAACCAGTTTGTGCCTCCTGCCACCACCACCCCCAGCCCTCCCTGCTCCCTCAGGGGCTGGATTCCCGACAGGAGAGCGCAGCAGCTGCTCAGGTTTCCAGGAATGAGGCAGGCCGGAGTGCTGGAGCTGCAGGGTGAGGGAGGGGCCGGCCTGTGTCCCTAGACCCCCTGAACTGATGACAGAATCTTAGGGGAGTCCAGACTCCCGAGGTCCTGGACTTTCCAAGCCCCTGCTAGAGCGAGCCTGTCTCTCCAAAATCTCTAAGTGACCTTGGACAGGCTGCCCAGTTGGTGGTGCTGGGAGCAGTCCCCAGAGGGCCCCCCCCAAATCCTGACTTTGAACAGCCTCCTGCCAGGCTGAGTCAGACAGCCCAGGCCCTGCAGAATCGGGGGAAGGAGTCCCCGGCTCCAGGCACCAGTGCCTTCCAGGCTGTCTCTCTGCCCCCCCTCGGCCCCCCACCCGCTCCAGTGCTAAGATGGAAACTTTCAGCAGCTTCGACTGTGGGGCAGTGGGGAGGAGAGCCACCTGGAGCCAGCAGAGACAGAGACAAGACAGAGTCAGCGCATGGAGCTGCAGGAGGAAGGAGCCCACTGCAGCACAGAGAGCCAAGACATGCGTGGGGGGCATGGGGAACCAGGAAGAGACCTTAAGATGTAGGGCACCCCCCCCCCAGGAGTCGTGTGCCCCCCAACCCAGCCCTGTGAACCAAAGGCTCTTAGCTCACCCTGCCATGAAGCTGCTTCCCCCGCCTCTTCTCCTGGGCTGTGCGGCCTAGATGCTGGAGCTAGGGTGCCTGCCTCTGCCGCTTAGCGGCTGTGTGACCTTGGACAAGTTACTCAACTTCTCTGTGCCTTGATATCCTCCTCTGAAAACTCGGGATCATAGGCATGCTCTGAGCAAGCTCGGGTGTGAAGCTTTTCCAGCAGGGTCTGGCCTGTGGTTGGTGCTCCGGAGTGTTGGTGGTTTTTGTGACTTTCTCCCACTCCTCCTCTTCCTCTCTATCCTGCCTTAGGGGTTCCTGGGCCCAGGCCCTGGGGTTTGGGGTGCAGCTGTGTTTTGAGGGGATGGTGCTCACAGAGGAGATGCTTTTGTCCCCGGATTTCAATCACCCCCTCCTGCTGCAGCTGCTTCCCTCTGATCTGAAGCTTCAAGGAGGACAGGGCCCAGACTACCCCCCCACCCACCCGCAATCCTTGCTTTTCCCTAGTGGGAACACCCCCTCAAAGCTAACCCCTCCAGGCCTGCGTTCTCCAGGACTAGATGGGGCGATGGTGGCCTGCGGAGAGGTCCTGAGGTCACAAAGCCTCACCAAGTCAGGTCTCTGAGGAGTTCTTTCCAGGAGGGGAGACTCACTCCCAGAATTCCTACTCCTGATCCCCTGGGCCTCCCCTTCCTGGGATCCAGGAAGTCCTTCCTACAGTCTGCCCTCATGCCTCCCACCTGGATCAGAAGGGGTTACTTAGCTCCAGGCCCGCCCACTGCAGGTCCCAGCTGCCCAGGGCCTGTGGTCAGGGCTAATGTAGGCAAGAGTTGGAGGACAAGAGGGGATAAAGTTATTAGTGTCTTCATCTTTAAGGGATATCGATTGCCGGGTCTCCAGGCTCACTTGGTCTTATAACAGGGCTCACGGGGGTGCTGGCAGGGGCTTGGAAAAAGCTTGTGAAGCCCCTCACCCATATCTTGTTGTGGAAACTGGGCTGCCTGGGCCTTCTCTGAGGCAGACTCCCACAGACTCGACTGGGAAGACGAGGACTGTGGGAAGGCTGAAGGGGCTGAGAGCCAGGCCTCGGGGTCCTAGGCAAGGAACAGACTGGACGGTTATTCCAACCTAACGCTTGCCGTGGGCTGGGTCCCTGTTCACCACACTTTGCTGGGAGGTCCGGGAGAGACCGCGGGGAGAAGCAGCAGTGGAGCTGGACAGGTTCAAGGTGGCAGCCCGGTGGGGAGGAGGTAGGGATTCCACACACACCTTCCATCACAGCGGCTGAGCGCCTCCCCCAACCCTGTGTGGTCCCCTCCAGGCCACCCTCAGTGTCATTCCAGCAGCATGTCCGTGGGTGCTTATGTTTGTGGGGGTGGGTGGTATCTCCCAGTGGGATGCGTCATCCCCCTTCCCACCCCGGGGTGGTGGTGGTGGTGGGGACTCCGATCCCCTGTGTGTCTGGTTTGGGATCTGTGTGTGACAGCCCCTGTGGACGCCTGTATGCACTTGGCATTCTGCCTGCATTGTACAACCCTCCTCCCTAACCCCCCATCCCCAACCTGATATCATCTGCTCCCCTGCCCAACATTCCCATAGAGGACCCCAGGGACCTGGCTGACCCTTTGGTCAGGACGGCCCCAAGGTGGCTGACCATCTCCGGGG